TTCACATAAATTTAAATTACAACTAGTTGCTATAACAATTGAAAGTAATATACTTTTTTTTTATTTTGTAATTAATATTTTAGCTTGTAGTGTGACTTATACATGAAATCGTGAAGTTTGGGTTAAAAAATACTTTCCACCCTTTCATTGTCGTTTCCTGTTACATTCTGTTTCTTCGTGGAAAAAAGAAACTTTTATTGCAAGTTTCATTTTCATTTTTTTTTTAAAAGCATTTCATAACTACTTTTAAGTCTATGAGACTATAACATCAAATATTGTATTGGTTGAGAGGATCTTGACATTGGTGTCAACTTTCGAATTCACATTGTTGTGGTATGCACGTTTTTTAATTGGAATATGTACTTGGGTTCTTAAAGTATATATGAATATAAAATATAGTTGTGATCTGTCTATGAGTTTTTCATTTTTCTTCTTTATTTTTTTGTAAATGAAGAATAAGATAATAACAAACGATCAACAACATAATACCAGACGATGTCATAATTGCAATTGTAAAATTTACATAAACTATTAATAAAGGATAAAAAAAATTTTCTGTCATATATTACTAGAATGAAGCCCTCGCTTTGCATGGAATTTAAAAAATATATATATTTATAAAAAATAATTTTAAATTGAATAATATGGTAAATAATAATACTTAAAAATAATGCTTTTTTCTTTAATTTTTAGTTTTTCAAAATACTTACTTTAATATCAAATTGCACTTTTGGCTTTTATATAAAAAAAGGATTCTAAAATGAGAAAAAAAGTAAAATACAAGTAGAAAAAACTAAGAAAAGTAAATATGTTCTCTTAATAGCAACTACAATGTTGGTAGTTGGCCAGCCCCCACAGAAAGTTATTGAGAAATTAACTCCAACTTGCTAGACACTTCACATTATTTATGGTCATATCTTCACCATTAGTTTTACTTTAGTGTGAATAACGTTTTAATTTGTGGAAAATAAAAAGTCTTGTGCTTCCTTTTACATGCAAAAGCACGTACTTTATCTCATTGCAAAATTCTTCTAAAGTATGTCGGCCACTTTTAAGAGAGTGTGATTTAAGTAATAAATTAGTTTATTTAATTGATTTATAAGTTTTGGCTCTGTTTGTTTTGCGAAAAATGACATTTGAAAAATGATTTTCACATGTGTTTATTTGGTAGAAAATTGACTGGTCAACAAAAAATAATTTATTGATCAAAGAAAAATAAAATTTTTTTTAAAATTATCTTATAGATTTAAAAAAAAAAAAGATATTTTTTGAAAAAGAGCTGTCAATGAGTAAAATTATTTATCAATACTTTTAATTATATAATATTTATTAATAAATATATTATTATATAAATAATATTCTAATATATTAATAATATTCTAAAAATAATATTATAATATATTAATAAATAATATAAAGAATAATAAATAATTTTATTTTAAGTATTTTTATAAACATAATATTTTAATATTAAATATTATTATTAAAATATAATTATTTTTATATTAATAATTTTAATAATAAATAATTTTTAATATTTTAATAGTTATATTAATATTATTTGAAAAAAATAAAATTTTCAAAAAACAATCAAATGACCAAAAATATTTTTCATTAATTTATTTAAATAATAAAAAATCTCTTTCAATTCAAAAAATGTAAATATATTTCAAAAATAATTTTTTACGAAACAAATGAACCTTCAATTCTTAGAATTTGCCATCATGAGAGAAGACAGCGAAAGACACTAACACTCCTTTTTGGTATGGAGGAAAGGAAACCAAATAGAGTTTAAGCAAGGACCTTGGCTTGCCAAAGTTTTTGAAGTCTAGTTCTGATTGATTGTGTTATTCTATTATAAAATAATTTATTTTTTAATTTTATTTTAGAATATATTTAAAAATATTAAAAGATTAGTATAAATATATTTTTAATATTTTAATGATAAATAAAAATGAAATGCAGAGCCCACCGAACCTAAGATTTCTAGATTTCAACCATGCTTTGCTCCTCTTAGTTCATGGACACCCTATTTTTTTTTTTCAAATAATATATTTTTAGAGAATTAAGAAAGCCAATTATTTTTGCAGCTCCACAATTACTCACTTCCTGCAAATAAATCGATTAGGATGTCACTATTTTTAAAATTTATACTTTAGGTGCTATATTAAAAATGTTCAAAATTTAAATATTATATGAAATATTTTATTATAATTTAAAGATTATTCGTAATATTAATAATCTTTTTAATTTACCATCATAAATTGAACATTGGTTATATAAAATAATGTAAATGTTTCTATGATACCTTGTTATTAGACTCATCTATGTGTCAGACCATCTGTTGATCTCAACTCAATTAAGTCTTGAACAAAATTTTTAAAGTTTTTATCAGGGTTAGTTGCTTTTTTTTTTTCTCGTTAAACAATATTTGTTAATTTAATTTACAATATGTTTTAAAATAGTAAATTATTAATATAAAAATCTTTTTAATATTTTAACAATAAATAAAAAAATGAAATGGAAGATTTGTCCGAACATAAGATTTTAAGGTGCTAAGCATGTTGACTTTTTTAGATGAAGACGAGGGAAACTGCTTTAGGATTTCCTAATTTCTTTTTAATTTTATTTAATTATTTTATTTTTAAATAAGTTAACTAGTAATAAGATTTAAATGAGAATTGTTTTAATCTTGGTAAGTGTATAATAGTCATCAAAAGTTTCAAAATTGATGCCTAAAAAACACTTTTTTTAGATCATGCTAATATAATTTAAACTTTAATTTTTTTTATATTTGAGAGTGTAAAGGATTTATCTCTAATTGAAAATTTTGCACAAAATTTGACTTCAAATATATTAAATTATAATTTATGTTTTCCTTTTTAAATTACAGCATTTAATGGATCAAATAATCACTAGGAAAAAAACTAATGCATAAGGTAAATCGCTTAGACCAAATGATAACTTATTTGGTTGAACAAATGTGATAAATTGACATCGAAATTGATTCGTATAAAAATTTTTTAAAAAATTTGTATATTGAAATCAGAAATTTTATATGTCTAAGTTTTAAAATTACCAAATTTTTTTGATGCAGAAATGTGGTTGAAGATCTAAACTTGCAATTATTCCTGAATAAAGGTACTGTCATCTTCAACAAAGAAATAACTACTACATCGAAGTTTTTGCAAAGGAACAAAAAGTAATATATAAACAACAAACACTAAAAATTTAATTAGCATTATTTGAAATGAAATATAGAATGATGATGCAACTGTGGATCATTCAACACCTTGCAAAACAACATCCGGAAAACTGCTAAAGCAAAATTATTAACCAAATAGAGACTGAGCTGTATCAAATGAACCAAATGCAGTTTAGAAAAATATCATTTGTAAGCTAATGAAATGAAAAAAGAAAAGCATCAAACAACTTCAACCCGACGAACAATGCAAGATAATTGTTAACCTAAAATTTCATGTAAAGAACTGTTTCTCGTATAATCAATAACTTGCAAAAACTGACATGTATTCTTCAATAATGACATCATAACTACTTGCAATAAAAGTTAAAATGTATCTTAGCAATTCTATGCAACTTTTAAAATATGAAGTTATTATGCAGAAGCTAAGACTCTAGTTTTGGATTAATAAGTTACAGTTTAGCAGTTATATAAGTAAATTTGCAAAGTAAACATCCATGTCAATCTTGATAAAAAATCATTCATTTAGTTGTATAGTTGGAGTACTTGTTAAACCCAACTACTTTTTAGGTTATTGGTCAAAAGACTTGGATCCAGTCCTAAATATGATTTTTGAAACTTGAGTTCAACTTGAGAATTTTATTATATTAATAAATAATATATTTTAATTAAATTTTAATTTTAAAATATTAATATAAAATATTATCAACATTTTAATAACAAATTTAATTGAAATAAGTAAATTAGTTTGGGAACATTTCACTTATAATTTTTTATTACAATATTATAA